AATGAGCAAATGCAACATATGAACTAAACAAATTGATATTCTCACAGAGTTTCAAATAATAATTTATATTAACTAAATTTAAATGTAGCTCTTATTAGTTTAGCCAAACTAAATAAACCAATTGTTGCTTTTAAATTATTATTTCATGAACATGAATAGCAACTAATCGCTAATTAATTGTAATATCAGCATTATCGGCAACTTGTTGCTGCTGCCAGCGCCGGCAACATGTGTGCTGAAAATAACAAACTCGCTTTCAACTTGCAGTTTCAGTCTGCGCTGCCGCTGCTGTTAAACCAACCCTTAGCTGGCGAAGCTTGAAAGCTTTTTGTATCGCAACATTGTGAAGCTCGCAGGCATGCAACAAGCCAAATGTTTGCTTGTTGTTGTTTGTATTTGTGTGTGTATCTCAATCGGAGTGAGTGTGTGTGTGAGTGTGTGTGCCAGCACGCTCGTGGCGGCACTCGTGGCCGCAGTCGTCAATACCAACATTTGCTCAGCTACGGCTACAGCTACAGCTTCAGCTGCTCAACATAGCCGCGTTCGGGTGCCACGGCCGCCGATACTTCACTTATGTAGGATTTTTGCACACTTGAGAGTTTTAGTTCAGTTTTGGCAGAATTGATAGATACACGAAGCACAGAGCGCGCAGCGCAATCACGCGTCCGTTGTAGATATATATGTAGATACAGATACAGAAACGCAACGCTTTGTTAGAACACACAAACAAACGCACACACAAACTACAAACACACAAAAAAAGTGAAGTAAAATAACAAAAATGATTAAAAAGCTAATGTAAAAACGAAATTAATTCTATTGCTAGTGTCCATTTGACTCATTTCGTGACCGAATCTCTGGCTTGGCCTGGCCCATATCGTGGCCCGGAATTAGTTACTGAATCGCTAGCTCGCATCTAATTGGAAAACATTTGGCTATTCAAATTGAGCACGCGTTGATTTCTATTTATTTAATCGCCGAATTCTCGTGATTTATTCAACGCCACGAACCAAAGTGCAGCGCACACTGGCCGCAGCTGCAGCTGCAGCACTTTCTGTGAGTGAGTGCATCATTTAATTAGCTACGAAATTGCAATCGCAATAGTTCTGTGGAAATTCAACAACAGCAACGACAGCAGCAGCAACAGCAACAGCAACAGCAGCAGCAGCAACAACAGCATCAGCAGGTAATAATAATACATATTTTAGTGCATGGCGTGCCATAAATTCAAATACAATAGCCATAAGTATGTGCATCGGGGGCTGAAAGTGGGTCTTTGGAGCCGGATGAGAGGCGGTGCCGTGATTTGTTTGCATGCAGCCCCAGATTAAATAACTAGCGAACTAATTAATTGATACCTATGGAAGGCTGCTGCCCGGCCGTCCGTCCAGCTGATAAAGCGCTAGCTCGTGCCCAAAGCGAAAGCGGACGCAATTACAGTTGCCAAAGAACAAAAGCTCGTTAAGCGCTGCACACACAGG